ATGCTGTAGCTGTTCTATGAAGTCGCTATAAAACAACAACAAAAAAAATACTAAAAACTAAAGCTGTTACCTGTAAATTTAAATCATGTTTTTATTAAGTACTCGGTATCGGTATCGGCGAGTACTGAAATGCAAGTACTCGTACTCGTTTCCAAAAAAGTGGTATCGGTGCATCCCTAATTTTAAGCATTCTTCCCTGAATTCGGAAACAGCTATAGTTGGTAGAAGCAATAGGTTTAACAGTAAAGATCCCAACTAAACCGCCACAAGATTGGTTCAGATCTCTAGATTCATGTATGTCCAAATTCCTTTGGAAAAATAAACCTCCACGTATAAGCTTAAAAACACTACAAAAGACCAAGGATAAAGGAGGACTAGAACTGCCTAACTTTCAGCACTACTTCTTAGCCAACAGGCTTCAGTTTATCTCAGGATGGCTAAAACATAGATGAACCTTGGCTAGATGTAGAACAAGCACTTTGCAATAATCTAGAGATCTCAGACCTACCATTTATCAGCTCAAACATCCAACGACAGGAATGCTTTAAAAGCATCAACATCAGCTCTTCTCTGACAGCATGGTGGGAGTTTCTAAAATTGATGGCGTCTTCATTAATCCCATGCACCTACACCTATCTGGAACAACCCTGACATATTACAAAACAATAATATGATAAACTTTTCAGATTGGAGTGGTAAAGGAATCAAATATTTAGAACATATACTAGAAGGAACAGAATTTATTTCATTTGACAGACTAGTTACACAATATGGGATCAACAAGAAAAGATTTTTAGAATATCAACAAATTAAATCCATAGTAAAAAAGAAATTTAAACCGGGTCAAGTTGAACTACAAACACCACCAAGTGTGGTTCAATTTCTTACTCTTAAAACCCCCAAATTACTATCCAAAATATACAGAATGCTTTCTAAAACAGATGAATCAATATCACTTCCTATTGCAAAATGGGAAGCAGATTTATCAGTTAACTTAGACCTAAACTTCTGGTCTCAGATTTGCTTAAAAACCTTTCATCTAATTAGAAATCCCAGTCTTCAATTAATTCAATACAAAATATTACATAGAGTGCACTATACAGGTCATCGGATGTTCAAGATGGGCTTTACGTCTACCAACAACTGCTCACACTGCCAAACCAATTCACCGGACAATTATATCCACGCTCTTTGGTTCTGTCCACCAGTTCAGAAGTTTTGGCGCGAGATATGTGAAGACTTATCAAAGTGTCTGAAATGTAACATTCCAACTTCCCCCTTAGTGTGTTTGTTGGGCAGCTTAGATAATGTCACTTCAGAAAAGAATATCGCCCATATGGTTTTCACTGCCCTATGCATAGCCAAGAAAACTGTCCTCATGAACTGGAAAAATAAAAATAATCTTAATTCTAACCAATATAGAAATTATCTATTAGATTACACTAGTCTTGATACAGCCTCTGCCACCACATCAGATCAATTGCTCTGGGCTCCTTTGATCAGCTCCATCACCTAGTGTGGATGGGGGGGGTCATAGTTTGGTCCCACCTTCGCTGTTGTGATTGGTGTGGGTGTAGGGACAGGCTTAGGGCGTGTCTCTCTATGTCTGTCTCCACGTTGGTTGAGTGTGGAGTAAGTGCATATGAGAGCATGAGGGTGGGAATGGATGTTTGTATCTGTGTGTGCCTGTATGTCTGTGTCTATATGTCAGGTTGGGTATCAGACGCCACCTCTCTGGGGACATCTCAGGCCCTCCAAGGTATGGAGGTCTATCTCCCCCCACCACCACTTCCCCTGCCAGTGGCGGACGCCCTCAGACATCGGTGCGTTGGTGGTTCTTTGTGTCCGGGGATGGGCGTCCAGGTACACACCGGCTCATTCCTTGGTGGCCGCTTATCGGGGCCTGGAGCCTGGGGCTCGCTCGGGCCACTTCGGAGGTGGGGTGCCCCCGGCCTCTCGGCCTGGGGCTCGGTCACTCAGGCACGGCTGGCTGCCGGCGGAGCTCACGGGCGCGTCACTGCAACTCCCCTGGCTTCTGCTCCGCGGCTGCTGAGTGAGCCCTCATCTGGGACTCTCCTCAGCTCTTTCTGGGACAGTGGCACGGCTGCCCCTCTGTTGGTCTTCCTTGGTCTCTTGTGTTCTGGGGGCCTCTGGATGTCTGGAGTTTTGATCTCCTCCATACCTGCTTCATGCCCTGGAGGACGGGGCTGTGGCCCCCCCACATTCCCTAGCAGATCATTACATGAAGGAACCTTTAAAAAAAAAAAAACAAGCGCGTCCATGCTCACAGGTATACACACGGGTGATCACACCCACAAACTACACCCTTTTTGGCTCCTACCTCAAAGCAGACTGTGTGCTGTTGATCTTATGTGCTGCACAATAATGTTTAATATTTAGTATTTACTGTCATATTCCCATATATCATTGTGATGTTGTTTATTCTATTACTCTTGTTCTCTTCTGCTTGTTTTCTTTTTTCATTCTCAACAGGTGATCCAGGTGATTGTTATATGGATTTTTTTGTCTGCTTATTTTGTTAGTTTTTGTTTTTTGCCCTTTATCTTATCTGCTGTTTTTCTTTCCCTCTTTCTTTCTCCCTTCTCTTTTCCTCAGTCAAGTCTGTCCCGTATTCAGCAAGTGAAAATAAAAAATAAAATAAACAATAAAAGGTGAATCAAATGGACCATTATGGCAAGGCTGGGATGGTCTATTTGGTAAAGTAAATCCGTTGGGCATCTTTCTTCACCTTTAGACAATAAATCTGATGGCAAAAGAGCCAAACGGGACAGGCAAAAAAAAAAAAACAGTAAAGATCCAAGGAGCAGAGAAGATGGATGAGTTTAAATACCTGGGGCTAACCATGCGTAACAATTCACAGTTCACAAAAGAAAGAGCCAGGGTGGAGATGAGTGGAGGGGGTGATTTGTGGCAGAAAGATAGCTAGAGTGAACGGGAAGGTTGGCACAGTGTGGGATGTGGGTGATCACAACACAGACAAGAGAAACACAGGGCTTAAATACACAGAGGGAGCAATCAGGGAATGGGATACAGGAGGGAAACACAGCTGGGAAAAATCAGGGCTAACGAGACAAGGTAAGCAAAACCAGATAAGTCAAAGGAGCTTGCAAAGAAAAGCGTCTGGACTTCTTTAAGTTGCTTGAAGACGTTTCACCTCTCATCCGAGAAGCTTCTTCAGTTCTTCAAGCAACTTAAAGAAGTCCAGACACTTTTCTTTGCAAGCTCCTTTGACTACGATGACCTGGATGACTGAGAACCTTCACAGACAAAACCAGATGAATTAACACAGACCTTCCCAAAGTGTGGGCCCGCCCCCCACGGGGGAGCCATTGCAGGGGGGGCGCGGTATGAAAAGGGAAAAAACAAAAACAATGCTTGGACACTGCTAGCACGGGGCTCCCACACAAAACGCAAAGGAGGAGATGAAGCATTCTAAGCCACAGACTAGAAAATATGGTGAAGCAAATCTGCCCTTTGGCTTCACCTGCACAAGTGCTGGGTGTAGGAGTGTTTAGCTGATTTTAGAGTTTAGAAATGTGTTAACATAGAATGTAGAACTATTGTAGAGACACTGCCCTCAATATAATAAAGGCCTCACTGTGTCATGAACTTAGGAGTAGATTGTAGGAGACCCCTCCCCCACTTGAACTGTGAAAGTAAAACAGAGAAGAGTTAATGCTGAGTGGAAATTTCCCAGAGAATGTTTGGGTGGGGTCTCAACATTTGTAACTGGATAACTGTGGTCTGGAAGGGAGATGGGTTTTATGACCTCTAGGGAGTCACCTACACCCACAGTGTTTTAACTGTCACGCACACACATCCACACGCACACTCACTCATGTGCACTCACACATACACACAGGTATGCGTACACAGTCACACACGAGCACTCACATAGACACGTGGGAACGCGCACATGTAGGCATTCATGTGCTCGTGCACATAGACAGAGACACAGATTTGGCAGCACACCGTGGGGGGGTTTATGATGGGGACGCCTCTATAAAGCTGGCTGTAACGAACAAAGGGGTGAAGATTTGGAGAGGGACACCGGCCTCGTCTTCCCTTCTAGAAGATGCATGCTTAAATGAGGATAAATGAAGAAGAGTAAAGATAAATGAAGATGAGTAAAGATGAATAAAGGTTTTGTGAAAATGACTACTGAGTCCGGTGCCATCTCTGGATGCTCGAGGAATAAAAAGAACCGGGGTAAAACTGATTTCGCAACATGAGGTAGGTCTCCCTGCAGATTTTCCCTTCGTCGGGAGCAGCGCTGGGCTCTCCAAATCACAGACAAACAGGATCCTACAGCTGTTTATGTTTTTGAACACATTTTGCACAGAGAGGCATTTTTTTGAAAAATGTATTGATAGCAATGTTGAATATTATTACACAGGAAAAAACAACTAGATGCACAGTAAAATTCGGAGTGTTAAAATAACACTTAAAGAGTTAAATTTAACACTGGTCCCGAGTCTATTTGGTCCCATTCGGAATTGGTGTTAAATCAACTCTTTCTATAGTGTTAAAATTTTAGAGTAAAATTAACTCTAAATAGAGTAAAAATTTAACACTGAGTAACACCGCAGAGTGTTAAATGAACCTAACACTACTAGTAGTGTCATATTATTTACTCTAACATAGTGATAAATTAACTCTATTTGAGTAAAATTCCACTGATTTTTAACACTGAATTGAGTTATTTCAAGTTAACACTGGGGGTTCAAATAACTCTGATGAGAGTTGATGTTACTCTATACTGTGTTATTCGTACACTTTTTCTTGTGAAAAATTAGCTCTCATAGAGTAAAATTTTAAATTAATTTTACACCAAGTAGTGTTACTAAAACTCTTCCTCTTCCAGCATGAAAACCTGGTTTCTAATAATGCTTTAAAATATAAAACAAGTAAGCAAAAACCACAACTAGATAATACGTTTAACAGCTTTATTTTGATGTCAGGCTCAAAATATTAAAACATCTCATGTGGTGTACATAAAACACTACACACACAAAAACAGTCATAAAACACTTTAAAACAATGAATTTAGTTCGGCATAAAATGACAATATGGAACCACATACAGGGAGGAATCAGAAGTGCCATACTTCATTTGAAGATCAAATGGTTTGAAGTAACACAGCTCTTTTATGTTCAACACCTTCAGCACCATATTGGGGTGCATTCTGACCTTAAATGCATGATAATGGTCATCAAAACACAGGGTTTCCATCAGTTTTCCACAGAGCAATGCAATGTCATCTTTCACAACAATACTTTTGATCTTATAAAACACTGGAATCTCAGACACTACCTCTGTACAGATGATAAAGTCAGGGCGGTACTCTGTACCATGATGTTTTATCCACTTAGCTGAAAAAACACTGGTAGACAACGCAGCTCCAAATTTTAAAGCAATTTCTGGACCTTCTTTCAGCTCTCCAAGTGTCACCATCTTTCCTGGTCCTAAAGCTAATCTTTCGAGGCTAAAAGACTCCCAATACATGGCCATACAACTTTGGTGTTTCTTGGCCAATGTCATTGTAATGTTTTTAAAGCTTTTTAATTGCTTCTTAAAGAAGTTATGTTTGGCTTCGTAACGCATGCACCACATGTGCAGAATTGGGCCAATATTTCGTATACTGCGAGGGTAATGTATCATGAAGTGATGCTTTGGTAGGAGACTGAGTGTAGGAAATAACTGCTTAAAGAGCTGATGATGATCAATAATTAAATGTTTGAGGTAGATGGTCATACCTTCTGACAGCACTGGTGAAAACACAATATTGACAATTTGTAGAAGCAGAAGTAGAAGATGCCAGTAGCTATCACCCACCTGTACCAAATCGCCAAACATCAAAGGTACATTACGCAATAAGCACCAAGATTGAATTGCATTTAGTCCTAAATCATTACTGCCATCAAACAACTTTACCCTTGGTGGGCGATTTCGCTGCTGATTGAAGCCATAGTAAAAGGCATGTATTCTACCAGCAAGTTGTTCAGCACTTAGGAAGTTCTCCTGAATGTACTGCAGCACAAGTTTCACCTCTAACTGAGCCACTCCCTCCAAAATGTCATGCATGATATCTACAGAAAAATTGTTGGCTGTGTTGAAATATTTAAGTGAATTCAAGAGACAAGTGCGTTTCACACCACATACATGAGGTAGCGTAGGATCTCTTTGTACACTTTCACAGTGCTGCTTATGCATATCAAGAGTTCTTAGTGCAACACCAGAATCATCTTCACAGAACACACTTTGAAAACAATCCTTCTCAAGCAGACAAAAACGACAACAATATCGAGCTGCAAATGACTCCACAAACCCAAACAGACTATGCAAGCCAAGATTGTCCCCAGTGACCTGGATTACAGTGCCATGAACCAAGTGTTTAAACATGGGAAGTTTCAGTCCCTCTGTCTCAAGAACTTTCAGATCATTGACAAGTGGCTCAAGGATTGAATTAAAGCCATAACGCTTTGAGTCTTGTGCATGAAAAAGAGCACACAAATGAATATTGACCAACAACGAATTAAAGATTGGAGGAAAATTCCTTAGTGTAAAGTATATTGCACCTAATTTATGTACACCCTTTTTAGAGCCCAGGGGATTTGCAGTTTCAAAGTCATCATAAAACAGTTGAATTTGTAAGGCATCTTTTTCTGCAGAAAATAGGGGACATCTTTTAACATAGGCAGCATCGATTAAGTCTGCATACACACCTTCTCTGGACATATTCCTCGACTTGAACATGTCGACAACATGGTGGTTTTGAAAGATAGTTTTCAGTGTTTCCAAAATAGGAACATATGCAAACCTATCGGTTACAATGACTTGATCAAAAGTCCCTGTGATCTTGTTTCTTCTACTGTCAAATCTTGTGCCAAGCACCATTTCAACAGGTTCAACAGTTGCCCATTTTTGTTTAAAGTGCCTATTTCGTTTAGCTTCTGAATTTAACAGTGTGAATGGGTTTTCAAAGTTTTTGAATGACTGCTCTAATTTCTTTTTACTTGAAGTGTCCTGTGAAGGTAAGCTCTGTAAAGCTGCATCTTTAGCCTGAGTATGAATCTCAAAAAACACTTCCTTCATTGAGGAGACAAAACTATTCACAGTAGATTGGCTTAATCCAGCTGCCCTGAGCTGTGCAACAGTAGAGGCACACATATCCAAAGTGCTCTTATTTGAACTTTTCAACATTTCAGATGTTGTGGGTGTTTCTTCTACATTAGTTGACACCACCTGCCCTGTAGTGCTAACTTCTTTAACTGCCACATCAGGCTGTAAATTAACATCAGTGTCAGCCTGTTGGTCGAAATAGTTAAGGTGTTTGGTATTTAAATGTTTTCTAAAACCTGAAAAAGTGCTAAACACACAGCCACAGTCACGCTGGGCACATTTAAGGCGAAGGTTTCTTCCAGGTAAGTAACCATGGACTAACCGTAAATGCCTAACAAGCATGTTTGAACCAGTAAACTCAGCTTGACAGACAAAACACTTCATGATGGAGAATTAACCTTCAAGCCCTAACGAAGCAACCTTGTCCTTATTTCAGCAACTCTGGGACTTTCTTTGATTTTGCCAACATCTATATTGTACACAGTGGTTTGGATGAACGTGTACATGTTGTGAAGCATGGTGTTGTAAGATGTGCCAAACACAAAATGTGCTTTAAACAGTTCATCAAAAGCACCAAGTGAAGAGGTAGACTTGCATGGTATGGCATTCTTGTCAAGAATAATGAAGAACTGGTGGATGTCATGCTTTTTCACCCCAACAGCCAGGAGGTAGGGTTGAGTGCTGGTAGTGATGGCATCAAGGTGCTCTTGGATATTTGTTCCAGTCTGAAAAGACAAATACAGACAGGCAATAAGAATCAAGTGTTTCTTAAACTGGTAATTCATACCATAAAAATAGAAAAGAAACAAACCTTCTTGAAGACCACAAGATGCCTTTCTGCTTGAGAAGCTGACACCTTTCCTGGTCTCTTCCGACCCTGACCAGATGGTGGAATCAAATGTAATAGCAATAGAATCGCTGAGAGGTCACTGTCCCAGCCTGAAAAAATATATTTGTTTTTAATAAAGTTGAATCATCCTCATCAATAACAAATTTCAATGCATCTGCATTGACAAAATGTTTGAGTAGACCCAAAATACAAAAGGACAGCTGTTCTGTGACAAACATTATATAGCCTGTGAATGTTCTAATTAAAGAAATAACAGCTCACCAATGTCAGCATTAACTTCAGTGGCATCCTCAGGAGAGTCAGCTGCCAGCAAGAGTTCTTCCAGGTCACTGGTAGAAGGAAGCTTTCTGCCTTGTTGGATAATCTATCTTTTGAATGTTGTTGGCCACCTCTCCAGCAACCTGCCTGATACATCCTCACCAAACATCAGTACAAAATCCTGTTCGATCTGTAACAGGGATAGAGAACAGAGAATTATATCTGCTATCTGCAAAAAAAAATAAAATGTGTTTACATTGTCAACGTAATGAAAAATATTCACCAAGCCTTTGATATCTTTGAAACGTGGAAACACAGACAGTATGTTGCTTGACAGCAGGGGGTCAAGGACCATGTTGTGTCGATAAACAAATGTCAACTTCATCTTCTTCTTGACTGTGTCTTCATCAGCTGAATGTTTCATCAGAGAGATTGCTTCCTTGCACTCATCCTCACTCAGCACGTTCTCTGTAACAAACTGCAACTCTCGTCTGACAGTTGGTCCACCACACTGGTCTTCACCCGATGATCCATCTCCTGGTGCTAGACAATATGAAATACAACTTTATCAAAACTAATAATAACATTTGATAACCATTATTAATACAGAACCACAATTTGGAACTGTATTATACGTTTCCACTGAATTATAAGTGTTACCTCCAGATGTTAATCGCCTCTCTTTAGCAGTGCATCTCTGTATGGTTTTAATCCTCCAGGCCAAGTACCCAGTGCCACTCTCGCCATCATAATAATGTTCCTTGGAGAGTGACATATACAGACATTTTGTTTATTAATTTATCAGTAAGTTATGTGACCATGAACAGTTGATAAGGACATACATTTTGGCAGGATTTAAAATTTTGATTTTAGTTGTATCAGTTATTGCTGTTAGCTACTTACATAGCCATTTTTTGAGTACGGGTCACTGAGGTAAGGGAAAAAGGTTACAATTCCTCTGGCATACATTTCTTTTACCTGCCGTGGTGGTGATGTACTGCAAGATCAAAAGGAAAAGAACTAGTCAGCTTCGCTGGAATTAATAGAGATTTAAAATAATTTGAAAATGATAGTAAAAATCACAGGGCCAGAAATAAATTACCCATTTTTTTCTGTCATGTCAGCTACCAGTATGTTGACCATTTTTCTTCTGGTTTCATCCACCAGGGACTTGGTCCGATTGTACTCATTTATTATACGTTCTCCACCAGGTTTGCTTGTGAGAATGGATTCCACCAACTGGAAAACACAATAAAAACATTCTACATGTTGATATAACCACTACAGTTCAGAACACTTAAACTACAAACAAAAAAGACACTATTAGAAGAATGTGGAAATCTGTTAACTCTTACTTGCTTAGCTTCTGCATCCAGCTTCTGACGTTTCCTCAAAGGGCTGTCTGAAAGGATGACCGTATCCTGTGAATCTGATGAATGTGGCGATGATAACTGGAACCGCTCAGGAGACACTTCTGCAACAGATGTTTCCAGACCTTAAAAATAGGAGCAAAACAAATTAGTTTACATGGTCCCTCCATAGACTCATTTTATACACTCTTTGATTAAACAATGTAATAATGACACAAAAAAAAAAAAAGACATCCAATGAAACACAAATCACTCAAACAAACCTGTTTCATATTTGATGGTTAGTACCCCGGTTGAGGGATCTGTTACTATATTCTCAAACACATCCTCATCCAACTCAGTCCCTGAACTATCAAAAACTTTCACTCCTTCTGTTACGGCTGGCGCACCAAACTTTGCAAATGCTGGAAACAAGCACACAAGTTTGTGTAAACAAAAAGACATGACATTTAATGTTTTGTAGCTTAAAATAAAGATCATTTCAAGATACTCTTTCAAAAATGAGTCAGATAAACAAAGGCTAAATTATTAAGCGCCACTAACATGCTTGATAAGTGGTAGATTAAAAGGAGTGACACTCACATTATGCAGTTTTCCCCCCACTAAATATACATTCATAACTAAGATGCTTCCAAAACACAGATCATTTTCAATTAATCATAAAATGCAGTTTGAAGAGACTAAATAACAAAAAGAACTTAAAGCCTCTTGTACACCTTTTTAATACAATGTTGGTTTCTTACCGGCAATCAAAAACTCCTTAAGGCTTGGCTCAGATACTCTAACAAATTTCTGCACACCTCCGAGTTTTGCTTTAAGCAGCATGCTTCCTGTAGACAGTAATTTCTTATAGTCAGTGCTCTTCATTGAACTACAGTAAACAGAAAATGTGAATATTAAAACAGTCCCATAAACAGCCTTGCAATGTGATTTCTTACACTGTATGTTACTTTTATGTCAGTGTAACAAGGTGTCAAGATATAATCCTCAATACAAAACTAAAATAATAACTACTACTTTTTACCATTTGTCTGACCTAACTTAGCACTAGGGAGTCAGTATTTTGTTCATCTTTAGTTTAACATACTGAACAGTCTGGTAACCAAAATGGAAAGCAGCAGGGTAACTTTTGTCAATACCATCAACTCACAATAAATACAAACGCTGTCATCTTAAATTCAAACTACTAAAAAAATGCATTAAAAACTGAATCCTGGACATTTTGGATATTTTATCAAGCTTATAACACCTGCTGGTTGTAATCCTGTAACTGTAAAATCGCTGAAGACAGCCGAGTTAAAATAAGACAATAACCTTACTAAAAACGACCTCTATATCTGGTACCTAGGTATCAAAAAAAGAAAAAAAGAAAGATGTAACATTTAGTGTACAATTTTAATTAGTTAATGCTTGAGTTAGGTGATTTAAAATTTAACGATAACTAGCGAATTGCCCGCGCACTGAGGTTAGCCAAAATGCTAGTTAGCTAGCTAATGTTAATATGTAGATCCCAACACATGGAGGGTTTCATTTAATGGAATTTCGAACATGCTAGAACACAACACAATCACCACTACACACTGAAATAAATTTTGATAACAAGCCTTACAGTCCAACACTGATATCAGTCAACTTTTTTAGCTAATTAACAACCTTACATTAGCATACAGATAGTGTCACATTTGCTTCTGGTACAAAATGAAATATATAATAAACATGGACAAAAGGAATGTAACCTTATTTTAACGTGCTACCTGTGCTTAAAATGTCGAATTGTTGGTTTAATAAGTAAATATGCCACACAAGAAATCAAGAAAGATTTAATGTTTTTGAAACAGAGACAATATGAAAGTGGCATTAAATCTACCAAAATATTGGCGTGGAAATTGAAAAAAAAGATAGCGGAAAATACAATTTATAAAATTAGGGACCCAAGTACAAAAGTGATACAAAATAAATTAAATGAAATACAGGAAGCCTTTGAAAGATTTTATAAAACCCTATACTCTGAAGCCCCGGGCGGGACTGAAGCTCAGATGGATAGCTTTCTGAACTCTCTAGACTTACCCACTCTAGATGAAGAACAAAATCAAGCAATGACAATGAATATAACTGAGGAAGAATTAAAAGCTGCAATTAATAGGCTTAAATTAAGTAAATCACCAGGACCAGATGGTTACACGGCAGAGTGGTATAAAGAATTTAAAAAGGAACTGATACCTGTCTTACTGCCTACATTGAATTGGGTTTTGAAAAAGGCACAAATGCCCCCCAGTTGGAAGGAGGCAATTATTTCAGTTATACCAAAAGAAGGCAAAGATAAAATGGAATGTGGATCTTTCAGGCCAATCTCTGTTCTTAACGTGGACTATAAACTTTTCACATCTATCATGGCCAAACGGCTAGAAGAGTTCCTACCAACACTGATATGTAATGATCAAACAGGTTTCATACATCAACGCCAAACACAGGACAATATACGAAAGACACTACACATTATGGACCATATACAAAAACACAAAATCAAAGCAATTGTGATGAGTGTAGACGCTGAAAAAGCCTTTGACTCTGTCAATTGGAAGTTCCTCTACAGGGTACTATATAAATTTGGCTTTCATGATATGATTATTAAAACGATACAAGCATTATATGATAATCCTACAGCCAGGATCAAAATTAATGGATGCCTATCCAACAGTTTTACCCTAAAAAGGGGCACTAGACAGGGCTGTGCATGGTCACCGTTACTTTTTGCACTATACTTGGAACCACTAGCTCAATCCATCAGGCAAAATAAGGACATTAAGGGAATTTTTATCAAAGGGACACAATATAAACTGGCTTGCTACGCGGATGACATTTTGATTTACCTTGGACACCCAACATATTCTTTACCCAAGCTGATGCAGTCATTTGAACAATACGGCCAATTATCAGGCTATAAAATTAATATAGGTAAAACCCAGCTACTCTCATATAACTACAGCCCACCAGAAGAAATAAAATGTAGCTACTCTCTGGTATGGCAAACGGAGTGTTTTAAATATTTAGGCATAAATTTACCGAAAGACCTTACAAAACTATTCGAACAGAACTACCTACCCTTATACAAAAAAATAAAGGAAGATATAGTAAGATGGAATTTAATTCCTTTCTTTAGTTTTAATTCAAGAATTGATTCTATTAAAATGAATGTATTGCCAAGATTTTTGTATCTATTTCAAACCCTACCAATAGAGATTAACCAAAGTCAATTTAATGAGTGGGATAAAATGTTATCTAGATATATATGGCAAGGTAAAAGACCAAGGGTTCGCCTTAAAACACTACAGCTGGCTAAGCAAAAGGGAGGATGGGGCCTCCCTGACCTCAGATATTATTATTTTGCAGCGCAGATGAGAGCAATAATATGCTGGTGTAACCAATCATACACTGCCCAATGGAAAACCATTGAGGAACAAATGCTGTCTATACCTATTCAGGCAACTCTAGCTGACAATAACTTACAAACCTATATAAAAAATACTGATAACATGTGGGTGAAAAGGACCCTTAAAACATGGAGAACTATTATAAAGGAATATAAACTCGAGACCAATATTACAGTTCTTAAATGGTGTGCTTACGACTCAGAGTTCAAACCTAATGAACTGGATTCTAGATTCAAGGACTGGACAGGTAAGGGCATAACAGCCCTGTGCAGTATAATGAAGGATGGAAAATTGTTCAGCT